TGAAATCCCACAAGCTGAGGGGCCAAAAAAAAAGAGGGTATTTTTCAAAATAAATAATCACCATAATGATTACTGTAATTAAAATATAGCAAATATTCACTAAACATATAAGCAAAAGAAGTAGCTAATACATGCTTGTCTTCCTTACTGAGAATTTAAAAGCACAGATAAATTTCAAGGCAAACTTCTTAGTAACTAAAACAACAAGAAAGTCAGTTTTCATTAACAGGCCCAATTTAGCCAGAAAATTCCTTCTGTCCCTAGTACCTCCATTTCTGGGACAAGACCAACAACCTCCCTCCAATCCTCTATAACTTTTGATTATCTCAACTCTATGATATACCAAAAATGAAGAAGAAGAAATACTTCTCTCTCTTTCCCTCTAATAATAAAGAACATCTCTTCTTTTAAAGGTAGAACTGAAACTGAACATTTCAACCAAATAAGGCTCTGGTTCCAGCAATGCTACCATCAACAGTCTACCACTGTGGATCCATGCAACTCCTGGCACATGTACCTTGTTAAGATCTTTTGCTCAAAGTAACAGATGGTGACTCCAGTTACAGTAAAGTCATCTTTCTAATTTATGAATGAACCTAAAAACTGTCACACAATTCAGTTATCACTAACAGAAGAGAACATATTAAGTTACAGTCACAACTCTAATTAAAACAAAAAAGTATATCCTTTTATAAATACTTGACATTTTGACCACGAGTTCCAATTTCAAATCATTAAAAAAAACCTCAAAACAAATCAAACCTAAAATTACTCTAAAAATTAAAATTAAAAAACCCCAACAAACCAAAAACCTAATTATTCAACTTATTTAGTACTTTACAATAACCCAGTCAACCATATACATACACAGCTTAGTAAACTGTTATTGCATGCATGCTAAGTCGCTTCAGTCGTGTCGGACTCTGTGTGACCTCATTGACGGCAGCCCACTAGGCTCCTCCATCCACAGGATTCTCCAGGCAAGAATACTGTTATTAGATAAATATAACTTACCCATACTAAGACTACCTTTAAAGGATGGAAAAGTATATTTTCCTCTTGAAGAAGAAAGTCCTCTGGAGAAGAGGGAATATATTGGGGAGCCTAGGATGTTGGTAATCCCACAAAGCCAATGTCAACTTTTATTCATATTCATACCTCCTGATCAACCACCACTCATCAAGAGGACGCTGGTGAAGTCCATACAGAGCACCGAATTGTGAGGGCTAATTAGATGGAGAACTGGGAGGGCTACAGTGTCAGTTGGCACACCATTTTCCTATTCCAACCAATATCACTATGAAATCTAAGTAAGATTCTAGCAAAAACTATATAAGCTTGGACACTGAACAGCTGAATCAACCTCCTGAACCTTAGTTTCTATACTTGCCAAATGGGAATAACAGTACCAACCTCAGAGTGTAGCTATAAGGAATAAGGAGATGTTTGCACACAGTAAATGCTCAGTAAGTAGTAGCTATTATTATATCCTTAAGACTAAAAAAGTAGCTTATAAAGCCAAATTTGGGACTTCCCTGGTGGACCAGTGGCTGAAACTCTGCACTCCTAATGTAAGGGGCCTGGGTTCGATCCCTGGTCAGGGAATTAGATCCCAAATGCCACTAAAAATCCGTCATGCCACAATGAAGAGTGAAGATTCTACATGCCACAACTAAGGCCCAGTGTGCCAAATAAATAAATATTTTTTAAATAAAATAAAAATTAATAATTGACCCTGTAGGGGATAAAGGAAGCATTCTAAGCTGAAGCCATAATGTCAAAATAAGACTAATAAACAAAAACTTAAGGGAAAAATCATCAAGTGCCTGAACAAGAACAATATAGAGAAATGGTCTTCTCCAAAGATGTTATGGTGTTGATATACCTACCACAATAAATGACTAGGTGAAAAATATTTAACTGGCAACTCAGAAGAGCATACTTTACAAACTTTTTAAGGTATAATCACACCAGGAAAAACCAAGTTTTATACAACAGAATTCTTTCAACAGCACTAAGAACTGCCTTTTAAGAATATTAAAATGTATACAGAGCAAAACTCCTTTGATTACAACAAAGACTATCTCCCAAGAGCACAAAAGCTCAACATTATACTGTGCTTAAAGTCCTTTCTCACGACATGCTAAAAATTAACATTTTCAGTCCAATTGCACTTTTGTGTCTTTTACCTCATAAATACCTTTAATAAAATTTGTAACACAAGAGTATTTCAGGAATTCCCTGGGGTTCAGTGGTTAGAACTTGGCACTTTGACTACAGTGCCCAAGTTCAAGCCCTGGTAGGGGAAATAGAATACATACGGTGTGTAGTAGGGAAAATATATGTATGTATGTATGTATATATGTATGTATGTGTGTGTGTGTGTATAAGTACTTGGTTTATGAAAGGACTTTTGAAACATTTCATTATATAAGTACTTGGTTTATGAAAGGACTTTTGAAACATTTCATTTGATCCTCAGATACTAACTCTATTTCCTCAAGAAACCAAGGTCCACAGAAATTAAGTAATTTGCCCCACAAACTACATATTAATATTACACCATTCAAGAGGCTGATTCAGCTGTCCTGAGATAATCAGCAAAACATTTAGTTCAACTATATCCAATGTCTTTTAACTCATTCTAGTACACCACAACTCCTTCTCCAAGACTCTGTCCAAACATTCTTAGTTGGAGCAGTATTATCAATTATTACAAGTAGGTTAACCATCACTAAAGGCCTGAAAGTCTCCTCCCTGCACAGCATTTCACCTGCAGAGACTTCATTTGCCAAGTATCTTGAACTGTGTGACACTGATTATTATTCTTAGATCAACTGATGACAAAATCTATTTATCATAGTTGAAACTTTACCAACAATAATGCGTGGCTGAACCCACTGGTATATTCTCTTGGCGTGCATTATTTCTCATTTTTAACTTAGCTAGTCACCCACTATTCAATACTAGCTAGAAAGTAATATGAAGTATTAGACTGACCCTGATATTTTTTTTCTTGTTTCTAACAAAAGCCAAATGCAGAGGCCGAAACACTTTTAAGGAATGGAGAGTCAAGCAATCTTATATACCACCCCAAATAGAGTGCCATGACATAAAGTTTATGCCTGCATTTCAACTTGGTTGAAATATCATATATTCCAAAAACAAGTTACCAGCAATCCCTTTCCTCAAATTCCCACATTTTTCTTATAGATACATTACCATCATTTCCCAAGATATCCTAAAAGTAACTTACAAGGCGTCCGTCCTTCAAAATGACTATTTCCATAAAAAATGTAAATACAACTTGATAACTATCAAATTGTAACTACTATATTGGGGAGTTTAACTTTCTAAGAAATTCTGCAATGTCTTTATATAATGTAACCTTTTGCTGCCGGAGCTTTTTAATGGTGGAGGAGACTTGGGCAGGTAAGGAGAGATATTTGCCTGTACCATAACTGTTGTATTCATATGAGTCTTTGGTAGCCACAACATAATTTACTCTCTAGGTAATATTTTGGACAACTTCACACTTGGGCTCTCCCTAGCAATGTAAATGTATCCTATTAACAGAAACTCCATTCCCACGGAGAATTGAAAACACCCTGATTTCTTGAAAAGGAAACAGCTATCTGTTTTGTACAATACCCAGTCCACACAGTGGCCACCTAATACGCACAAAAAGGGGAAAAAAGGACCTATTTGGACAACGTTTCTTCTTCATCCACGGGCTGTTCCGAGATAAAGGCTATGCTGAGTACAACAACAACAAAAAACCCTTCTCTGAAAAAGAGAGGAAAGATCGGGAATAAACAGGGAGTGAGTGTACGCGCTCAGTGAGGGCTGAAGGCAGCAGGCGCGGCGCGGAGATGCTCCAGCGAAAAGAACCAGCAGCAGCAAGCAGCAGCAGGAAGTTTCAATGGGGCCGGGCAGAGCATGCGCCCTGCACCCGCGCGGTGGCCTTATGTGGAAGGAGCACCACTTGCGAACACCAATAATAGACCGGCGGCACCAGAGAGAGAAACATGAGCAACAAGCACCTTCTTCAACTGTTTCCCCCTCCGTCTGAGCCCCTCCTCCATCCTACATACTAAATACCCCACCCTACCCTTCAAATGGGAGGGCGACTTCTTCTTCCCCTAAGCCTTACTGCCAGGATGAAGGGGGAAGGGACTGGAAAAGTGGAGAGATGCTTTTCCATTATTTGGGGGGGGGGGGGGGGAGGCAGGGAGGAGGAGGAAAACTATGGGGGAGGAGAAATTAACCCTCTGCCCACCAAAGCAGAGAAGCAAAAGCGACTTCACCACCCCCCGCAAAGTGAGAATGTTAGAGGACCCCCTTCCTATGAAGGAGCAGCAAACCTCCCGACTCATGGAAAGGAGTTTTGGGGGTTAAAGCGGCCCTGGAGGGGAAGGGAAAGGACACCGGAGCCGATTCTCTCTCGGGGGAGTTCCCACTAGAGGGAGGGAGAGATGAAGTGTCCTCTGGCCCCCGCCCACCCAGGTGGAGGGAGAGAAAGGGGCGCCCGGAGAAGACGAGCCCAGCCTCCCCCGAGATAGTAGGGAGGATGGTGGGAGGAGGGGAGGGAGCGAGGGAGGGGTAGAGGAGAAAAGCGCAAAGCTGGCCGGAACCTGCGCTCCCCTTCCTCCGCCACCGAGAGGGAGAAGGGGTGAGGGACCCGGCCCCCACCGCGGGGTAGCAACCCCGGGTGAGGCCGACCAGCACAACGACCCCACCCCCACCCCCCGCGCCCAGCCCAGACCCAGACCACGACGCCCCCACCTCTGCTGGGCGCCGGGTGGAGTTGGCCCTACGGGGCCTCCGCCCCGCCTCCCCACTGCCCGAGACCCCCGGGGGCTGGGCGGAGGAGATGGGCCGCGAGGAACTGCGCCTCAGCGGGAGGACAGAGCCGCGGAGGCTCGGGGTGTCTGTGGGGAGCAGAGAGAAGGAGCAAGCCAGGGCCGCTTCCCGCCGGGCGTTCGGGCCCCCTCGCTTACCTTCTCCGTTGCCGACGTCCGGCGGCGGAGCTTGCAGCACCCGCTCGAGCTCCGGGAACGGCAACTCAGGCAGGTCGAGCAGCGGCCCGTAGCGCTCCAAGAAAGAGCAGACTACGGCGAAGTTGGGACACGAACCCGGGCAGCCCGGAGGAGCCATCGCCGCCGCCGCTGCCGCCGCCGCCGCCATTTTGAACTGGAGGATGGAGGAGGAGGAGGCGATGGGGGGGTGAAGGGAGTTGGGGTGCTGAGGAACAGCAGGGCAACCTTACGGACGACAGGAGGCGCTAGCAAGTGGGTGCCCCTGCGGATCCGGGCGTCTCAGGCACGGCGCCGCGATCCCACAATACAACGGCGGCCCAGAGCAGTCGAGAACCCAGTCAGACGGAGGAAAGAGAGGCGCTCCGTGCCTTTCACTTTCCGCCCTCTTCCCGCTCCTCCCACTTCGGGCTTGCCACTGCCTCGTGTGACAGGGGGAATGAAAACAAGGGCTGCGGGGCAGGGAGGCGGGGCTGGAAGCTCGGGAGGCGGGACTTTTGGGGGAAATGACCAATAGACTTGAAGGGGCGGGGCTTCGCTTGAAGACTGGCGAAACATTCTTTTCCGGGCGGGGCGAGTCGTGGGCGGGTGGGGCGGCGGGGAGCGTCTAGCGGAGACCGCCTGAGCAAAGGTGAGAGGTAAAGCGCGGAGCGGTTTGAGATCGCCGCTCCTCGGAGGGTGTCGGGTAAGTTTGGGGGGCCACTTGTGGGACTGCAACTGGCCACCAGATGGTCGGGAAGCTGAGGAGAGTGAATAAGACGAAGAAAAAGAGCAGAATAGAAAAACACACACACACACACAAAAACGATTCTGAGGAAAAATTGGAGAGGGGAAAAGTAGAGAGATGCCCTGAGTTGGGAATTGGGATGGAAGCTTTGTAATGAAGGAGTCTCTGTGAAGTTTGCTGAGGTGCAAGTACTGCACCTGCTTGAAAGCAGTGTCTGAGAACTGGGGGACAGATGGAACGAGACTCTGCCGGGATCTCCAGTCTGAGGAGTTGGGGCCGTGGTAGGAAATCCGGGGTTTGAAGGGACCAGGCTCTTCTCAGGGAGCAAAGTTTGAGAGGATTGGGCCCTCCTGAGTTTGCCAGGGTGGGAGGGCGAGGGGCCCTGTTAAGGACTGAGATCGTAGGGACCAGTCTCTGTAGCGGAACCAAGATCGAGGGTGGACTAGGACTGCACTGCACCTGGTAGGAAATTTGTTGCAAGGGCAAAAAGTTTGTTAGAAGAGAGTTCTTCGTTGGGAGAAGGCGTGAGCACTCTCCCACAAAGAAGCTCAGAAAAACCATAAGTAATGCAAAGCAGAATGCAGCTTGGGATATAATGTGAATTATGGTTAAGAGTCTGGACTTGGAGTACAGCAAGACTTGAGTCCTAACAGAACCGCTTCACGACATTGGGGAAGATTTTTTCATTTCTTTGAACCTCTGAAGTTGGCGGGGGGGTGGCGGTGACGGTAGTACATACATCATAAGATTTTACTGTATAATTCACAATAAATTGATTAGCACAATGCCCTGGCACATTGTGAGTGAAAGTCGCTCAGTCGTGTCCGACTCTTTGTGACCCCATGGACTGTACAGTCCAGGGAATTCTCCAGGCCAGAATACTGGAGTGGGTAGCCATTTCCTTCTCCAGTGGATCTTCCAACCTTGGGATCCAACCGGGGTCTCCTGCATTGCAGACGGGTTCTTTACCAACTGAGCTACCAGGGAAGCCCCTGGCACATTGTAAATACTTAAAAAATATTGGTTGCTACTATTGAAGAAAATCCCTAAAATTTAGATTGAATTCAGTTGTTTGTAATTAATAGTTTACTACTTTGAGCCAAAAATTGCAGTGTGCATTTAAAATTTATATAGTATCTGCTTAATAAAAGAATTTCAAAGTATAATATAAATCATAGGACAATTTATAATTAAAGGAAAATAAAGAAATATATGGCATCATCAACTCAATGGACATGAGTTTGAGCACATTCCAGGAGATAGTGAAGGACAGGGAGGCCTGGTGTGCTGTAGTCCTTGGGGTCACAAAGAGTCAGACATGACTGAGCAACTGAACAACAAAAAAATAAATATATAGGCAAATAATTATATTGGGAACAGAGAAAATAATTACCACATTAAAAGTTAAATTTTGTTCCGCATTTCTAGGTAAAAAAGGGAAAAACCATAACTTTCTGTGTCAGACTACTAACTAAGGAAAGAATTCTCATTTATCAAGACAAAAAAATTCTATATTATAAGAGGAATTTATTAACTAGAATACTGATTCTTAATCCTGAATAATATACAAACCCTTTTTAAAGGAAAAAAATGTTCTTTTAAAATTTACAAATACTCTTGAGAATTCCAGTTTAAGAAGTACTGATTAAATAAAGTCTACACAACAATGTGATTGTACTTCATGCCATTGAACTATGTGCTTAAAAATGGCTAAAATGTTAAGTTTTATGTTATGTATATTTTGCCACAATAAAAAAGTTTTTTAAAAAAGAAAATTTCACTTTAGGAATATTTCTATGGTGATGAAACTGTGTTGTGTACCTGAAACATATAAAACTATACATCAATTATACCTCAATTTAAAAAAAAACTAAAATATATTGATAGAACTCTCAAACTCCCCAAGAGATCCTCTACCTGGGCTCCTGAACTATCAGTTTTGCAAAGATACAAAAATCTTCATAAGATCATAACTTAATTGACCTTAAATGAAAGGCAGGTACACAATATTAAATAAAATTGTATCTTTATGAATGAATTTTGATGGGGAAAAAAATCTTCAAACCAAAAGAAAGACTTAATTATATCATTTAGTAACACTACCCCTGCCTCTTTCCTTTCTATTTCTTCACTTCAGCTTTTCCAGCACCTTACCTGTTCTCTTGGGATTGTAAAAATAACTTTCAAAAAAACAGCTTTATATAATTTTTTCTTTTCTCAATGCTGACACTGTTACTCAAGGGGGGCCTGATAAATAAAGTTAGAGTTTCTGCCTTTTCTAATCAAGATTGGCATTAGAACAAAGTCCTTGGGCATCAAAAGTTATATCCACCCAAAAGATAAGAGATGTTTGATTACAAAGCAGGGTTTAGGTCAGATGTTCACTAAGTCTATTCTTAGAAAAAAATAAATAATAAGCACCCATAATACCACATCTCTTCTTTCCTTGGGCCAAAAGAATTTGTGGGTTATGGGAAAGAAAAAAAAAAAAACTTAGTTTTTCATTCAGAATTAATGACCAGTTTATTCAAAATACCAAAAAGAAACAACAAATGCTCATCAGAAGAATGGGTAAGTAAATTGTGATATAATCTTTCAACAGACTACTGCTCAGACTGATACACACTGATACATATTACAACATTCATGAATCCCAGAAGCATTTTGGGTGAAAGAATAAAGACACAAAAGAGTAGGTACTTACAATTTCAACAACATGAAGTTCTAACCAATATGTGGGAATAGAAATTAAAAGTTACTTTTGATCTTAGAAGGGGATTGATTAGAAGGGTACACAAGGGAAATTTTGAGGTACATTTGGTATCATGTCTGGCAAGTTTATACATTTGTGAAAGTCTTTGAACTCAATAATATCTGCACTTAATTGAATATAATTATGCTTTAATTTTAAAATTTAATGACTTAGCCTTCAATTTTCTCAAATTGCATTGATAAGAATCTGCCTTGGAACAGAATAATTTACACATATTTCCGTCTCACCAACATACTATCTTTGCATTTGTTGCACAATTTTTTTTTTTAACAGATATTATAAGCCTGTCAAATGTATATTGAGGTGAATTGGATTCGGTCATAGAGCCAGTTTGGGAATTCCTAGTTAGTGATGAACAAATTTACTTAGTGAAAGTCACTTAGTCATGTCCGACTCTTTGCAACCTCATGGACTATACAGTCCATGGAATTCTCTAGGCCAGAACACTGGAGTGGGTAGCCTTTCCCTTCTCCAGGGGATCTTTACTTAGGTTTGTTAAAACTCACTTTTAAAACAATACTTTTAGAAGTAGTGTTATATGTTATGAAAAAGCCAGTGTCAACAGATGTAAGAATCTTACGTTCTTCAAAATAGTTTCTTAGGAAAATAAGAAGTAATATAAATAAGATTTAATCCAGCCATTTTCTGTTTCTTTCTCTTAATGATAACTGAATTCTCTGTTGCATAGAATTCTATTCATTGAAGAATCACTTTTGGAAGTGTCTTACCATCTTTTTTCTTAAGAGTTAGCATCTGTCTATTCTTATTTCTTAAAAGCATGGATGAAATTGATAAACTATTTCTCAGGTGAAATAATTATTTTTACTGAAAGAGAAATTATGTTGGCTTTTTTGTAGAAATGTATAAGTTTGTCCTAATATTAATATGGAAGTGCAAGGAACCCAGAATATCCTAAACAGTTTTTTAAATGATCAACAGAGTTGAAGGTTTCACCCTTCCTGGTTTCAAAAAAAAAGAGAAAATTTTATAGTTAATTGCATGTCTTCTCTCTCTAGTGTAATATTAACTGTTCATCAAGAATCATGTTTTATAAACTTATGTCTTCCTCCCATAGAACCAAAAACAGTGTGTTTATGTCCTTTGTTATATAATGCATTTAAAAATGGATTAGTAGTTATTAATATTAGATAGAAATATTACTTGTTATTGTCTTTATTTGGAGATTAAATACAGTTTAAGGACAGGTATGAGGTACCAAATTAACAAGGGGTGAAAGTGAAAGTGAAGTGACTCAGTTGTGTCTGACTCTTTGCAGCCCCATGGATCAGGCTCCTCTGTCCATAGGATTTTCCAGGCAAGAATACTGGAGTAGGTTGCCATTTCCTTCTCCAGGGGATCTTCCCGACCCAGGGATCGAACCCAGGTCTCCCACATTGCAGGCAGATGCTTTAATCTCTGAGCCACCAGGGAAACAAGCAGTAGATGTGGTTAATTTGTATGTCAGCCTGGCTGGGCTATAGTACTCAGTTAATCCAACCAAACACTAATCTAGGTGCTGCTATGAAGGTGTTTTGTGATCTAGTCAACATTTACAATTAATTGAGTTTTAAATACAGGAGATGATCCTCAGTACTTTCAGAAGCCCTCATTCAATTAGTTGAAAGATCTGAAAAGGAAAAGTGAGGTTTTCTTGAGGAAGAAGTAACACATCAATACTGCAGTGACAATTTCTGCCTAAGAGTCAGCAACCTGCCAGCTTGCCCCCACAACTGCATAAGCCACTTCTGTGAAATAAATCTGTTAATATATATGGTCTACTGGTTCTGTTTCTCTGGAGAACCCTGAGTGATACAAGCCCCTTTTAGTTACTGTACTTACCAATGCTAGATGATTATTTTTTGAAATGTCTCTTTATTGAGATTCTATATTCATTGAGTCATTGTCACCATAATTTTTAAAACATTACATTAGTTTTTAAGTATAATGATTCAGTGCTTTCACAAATTATACTCCACCAACAGTTATTACAAGACAATGGCTATAATTCCCTGTGCTATAGAAAGTCTGAATTTGGATTCTTCCCCTACATTGTTGCTCTTAGTTTGTTTCTGTTTAGTCACTTGCCTAAACTAAATCTGGAATTCTGTCTCCCATGGAATGTGTAGCCACTGAAATCTATATTAAGGGCTTTTCTTTTTTTCTTGTTTTGTTTTCTTTCTTTTTTTTCTTATTTTCTTTCTTCTTTTTTTTTTTTTTTCCCTTTTTCTTTTTTTTTCTTTTGGTCATGCCATGTGGCTTCTTGGAACTCCCTGACCAGGGATTGAACTTTGGGCCCCAGCAGTGAAAGCACCAAGCCCTAACCACTGGACCACCAGGGAATTCCCCTTGTTTTCATTGTTAATCTTGTCTTCCTAGGGGTCTCCTCTGTGCCTGTATAGCATAGTGTCCAGCCAAAGATTAATCAAAAATTGTGTTCAAAAATCTCAAGCCAATAAGAGTTACCCTCTACTGATCCAATCAGTGTGTGCTGGGGAGTACATTCAGTGTTCAGGCCATTTTCATTTCCTTCTTGGTACTCATATTCTTCTGAGTCCTCCAGAACCCCATTACCACTTCACTTTGTATGTTCTGTAGGCTCCATTAGCCCAGACATTTCCATGATTTAGGCCTATTCCTGTCTTTGATGCATATGCTCACAGCCTTTGTTCCACTCTGGATACTAGAAAGCTTATCCAGCACCCTTGGGCTGGATCACCTCTGGGAATTCCTTTTCGATCCTGGCCTACTCTGACAATCCAATTGTTAGCTCCAAATAGGCTCACAATAATGTAGAAGCAGAGCCACCTGCCATCCATGTTTATTTGCCATTGAGATCACCAGGTTAACTGATTATGCTCTAAATCAAGTAAGCCTCCTCTGCCTTAGCAGCAAGACTTGGTTTTCATGTCCTGCCCCAGTCAAGCTGAACCTCTGAACCAACAGAATTGATGTAGGGGTATGGGTGTACTCCCAGACAAGAACAACAAAATATCTTACTGTTCTTATCTGAAATTCACTAGTTTTCACAAATAGGCATTTCTTCAGTTTGAAGTATGTCTATATTTCCGGAGTGCCAAATCATTATTTTGACATTTTTGTCTGGCTCTACTTCCTTTGGGGGAAAGGATTTGTCAACCTCCTCATTCCATCATGCTGAGGTAAATTTCCACCTTTAATTTTATTTAATTACTTTTTAATTTTTTGGCTACACGGTATGGTATGTGTGATCTTAGTTCCCTGACCAAGGATCAAACCCATGCCCCCTGCATTGGGAGTGTGGAGTCTTAACCACTGGACCACCAGGGAAGTCCATTCACCTTTAATTTTATCTTTCAAAAAATATCCTGAGAATTCCCTCCAGAGTCTGAGAAGTAATTGTAGTATCTAGTTTCCATGGTTGGATGAGTCAGGATCCCAAGAATAACATTTTACTTTTTAGGCCTTTACAGAAGAAGTGACAACCACATAAATGGGAAAGAAAGATGCTTCTTAACTCATAGAGGACCAGGGCTTACTATATTTTGTATATAGCATTATATTTTAAAATATATTCTATTTATAGTATAGCTCCAGTATTTTGGAGCTATTTCAAACTTACTTTAAAACTGATTAATTATATTTTTCCTTTAATTTCAGAGTTCAGTTAAGTTCCTTATGTCATCCCCTGAAATTGCTTCGCTCTCATGGGGGCAAATGAAAGTACAAGGCTCTACAAAAATCTATAAGGACTGCAAAGTGTGGCCAGGAGGAAGTCGGGATTGGGATTGGAGAGAAACAGGAACTGAGGTAAGCTATTAGTGTTTGGTTGAAACTGTAAGGCTGGCGAAGTAATTTCCAAACTCCTAAGCCTTAATGACTAAGTTCCAAGAGTAAAGTAACTATTTCTTTCATTCTCCCCCTCTCTCTCTCTTCCTCTTGATATAATATACACACCATTAATATCACTTAAACTTTTAAAATATGAAATACAGTTGACCTTTTGTCATAACCTTGCACCATAACTACCATTACTAACTCTAGGACATATTTATCATCCCAAAGGAAAGCCCATAACCATTAGCAGTCACTCCCCTTTCTTTCCTCTCTCCAGCTCCTGGCAACTACTACTTTCTGTTTCCATAGATGTACCTATCCTAGACATTTCAAATAAACAAATTCATTCAGTTCTCTTAAGTACATACCTAGGATTGGAAATTCTAAGTCATATGGTAACTCTGTGATTCACCTTTTGAGGAACTGCCAGACTGCTTTCCAAGTTAACTGTACCATTTTACATTATAGATGTTAGGAATGTATGATGGTTTCAATTTTTCTAAGTTCCTCCTCACCAACACTTACAATTATTTGCTTGGCTTTTGCTTTTATTACACCATCCTAGTTAATGTGAAATGTTATCTCATTGTGATCTGAAGTTGCATTTCCATTATATTACACGTCCTCCAGTATTCTCAGTATACCATGCTCAAAATAGCCTCCATTCTGTGAGTGGAGGTTGGTTTTAAGAAGGGAACCCTCAACTCACCCCCCACACTCACATGGGACTTGGCTTCAGCAATAGATAGCTGCAGGCAGTATTAGAAGCACTGATATCCTGATTCTTCCAGGAAGAAGGTCTTATAGATGGTAGTAGAGACAAGGAATAGCCTTTGACTGTAGCAAACTGAAGTGAGTTTCCACCTCAATGGACTAGAAGGAGGAGGCAGGTAGCAGTCTTTCTTAAAGTATCAGATTTTCACCTTTCCTACCAAATATTTCTATTTTTTTCTAAAATACTTATTTCTTAATTTGCTCTTTCCTCTTTGGGCCTTTCCAAAGTCTTTTTAAAAAATTTATATATTTATTTGGCTGTGCAGGATCTTGGTTGTAGGAACTCTTAGTTGCAGCATGTGGGATCTAGTTCCCTGACCAGGTATTGAACCTAGGGCTTCCTGCACTGGGGTAGAGTCTTAGCCACTGGACCACCAGGGAAGCCCCTTTCCATAGTGTTTGAATGATTGGGGTTAAAAAAAAATCTTTTTGGGTTATGTTTTTTGGTTTGTTTTAATAATTTTAAGCGTGGGTAGTGGAGCTCCTCATGCTCTAATGATGGAAGTTGATCCTTCCATTTTGAAGGATAGTTCTGCTGGATATACAATTTGTGGTTGCCAGTCTTTTTCTTACAATACTATGAAAATGTCATCCCACTTTTTTTGATGTTACTGGTTACTAATGAGAAATCAAATGTTATTAAGGTTTCCTTGGACTTGACAAGTCACTTCTCTCTTGCTCCTTTCAAAATTCTCTTTAGCTTTTGACAGCTTGACTATGATACATCTATCAATACATGCGGATCTCTTTGAGTTTATACTGCTTGGAATGTATGGAACTTCATAAATGTGTAGATTGTTGTTCATCATCAAATTTGGGAAATTTTCACAAATTACTTCTTCAAATATTCCTTCTGCCCCTTCTGTCTCTCCTCATCTGTGAAAACTGTTAGGAGTATGTTGTGGGGGCTTTCTGTGTGTTTTTGGTAGAGGTTTTTGGTGTCCTACAGGTCTCTGAGGCTCTGTTCATTGTTTTCATTCATTTTTCTGTCCCTTTTTTCAGATTGGATCATCTCAATTTACGTATCTTTCAGTTTTGCTGATTCTTACCTACGGTTATGCCCCTTTAATATAATTTTCATTTCAATATTGTACTTTTCAGCTCCAGAATTTCCTTTAAAAAATGATTTCTGTTTACTGTTATTCTCTAGTTAGATATTCTTCTTCTTTTTTTTTTTTTTTTGATACATTCTTACACTATCCTTTAATTCTTTAAATATGTTTTCCTGAAAAACAATGACAGAAGTTTCTTTATATGCTTGAAACCAATGAGGGTTCTACTTTGGGTCAAGGGGCTCTGTATGCAATTTGGGGTATGCAGTCAACATTTAGCCAGACAGTTTAAAATTTTGCTTGATCCTTGCTTATGAAGACTCTCAAAGTTACCCAGAATTGTGACCTTAGGGCCTTCTCAGGTCATTTCTGGGCATATGCACAACCCTGGACATGTGTATGGCCTTTTCAATACCAAGGTTCATATCTGAGCTTTTCAAAGCCTCCTATAAACATCTCATTTTTTTATTCTTTTCATGTTAGTTTTTTAGAACCTCTCACTTGCCCTGTCATCTACTGTCTCAGGCAGCTGCATTGTTAAACAATTGTCTCTGACTGTTTTTGACAACCTTCTCCAGGAGAAAAGATGGTTCACACTGGTAAGCTCCAACTTAGATCAAATAAAGTCTATGAGTGGGGTCTTCCATGGAACCACCAGACAGGTTAAATAATGACAGTTCTCTAGGAATGGGCATTTGAAGGAGCTTTAATGCATTATTCTATCTTGGGTGATTGCAAAACTGGGGGTTTTCACTATGATTCCAGGTTTTTGCTATTCAAGGTGACCACAGAAGTGAGAATGGGATAGTGGGATGTGTTAAAGACCCCATTATTGAGTTATTGTTAATTTCTCCTTTTATGTCTGTTAACATTTGCCTTATATATTGAGGTGTTCCTATTTTGAGTAATACCTATGTTTTTAAATTTGTTGTTTCTTTTTCTTGAATTGATCCTTTGATTATTACGTCCTTCTAACAGTATTTATTTACTTTTATAATTTTTATTATTTTTTGGCTGCACCACGTGGTATGCAGGATTTGTGTTCCCCAACCAGAGATCAAATCTTTACCCCCTTAGTGGAAACTCAGAGTCTTAACCACTGGAGCACCAAGGAAATCCCAGCAGGCTTTAAAGTCTGCTTTCTCTGATAGAAGTATTGCTTCTCTGGCTTTCTTTTGATTTCCATTTCCATGGAATACCTTTTATCATCCCCTCATTTTCAATCTGTATGTGTCTCTAGATCTGAAATGAGTCTCTTGTAGGCAGCATATATATGGGTCCTCTTTTGTATCTATTCAGCCAGTCTGTGTCTTTTGATTGGAGCATGTAGTTCATTTACATTTAAGGTCATTATTGATGTATGTTCCTAATACCATTTTGTTCATTGTTTTGGATTTGTTAGTGAGGTCTTTTTCCCCCTTTCTTCTTTTGCTCTTTTCTCTTGTGATTTGATGACTGTCTTTAGTGTTATGTTTGGATTCCTCTTTCTTTTTTGTGTGTATATCAGAGATGTTTGTTTACTGTAAGGCTTTTATGTATTTATATATATATGTACACACACTGCTAAGTCACTTCAGTCGTGTCTGACTGTTAGCGACCCTATGGACTGCAGCCCACCAGGTTCCTCTGTCCATTGGATTCTCCAGGCAAGAATACTGGAGTGGGTTGTCCAGCCCTTCTCCAGGGGATCTTCCCAATTCAGGGGTTGAACCCACATCTCTTGTCTCCTGTACTGGCAGGCGGGTTCTTTACCACTAGCGCCACCTGGGAAGCCCATATCTATCTATCTATTTATCTATGCTTGTTTTAAATTGTTGACCTCTTAACTTCAAATGCATTTTAGATAACCTACATTTGTACTCTCCTCCCCTCACAATTACTTTTTGGTAGGTTTTTTTTTTTGGCCATGTCACACCACATGCGGGATCTTAGTTCCCCAACCAGGGATCAAACTCGTGCCGCCAGCAGTGGAAGTGCAGTCTTAACCACTGGACTGCCAAGGAGGTCTCACAATTACTTTTTTTGATATTATATATTTTACATCTCATTGTTTTGTGTCTCTGTTAGCCACTTATTGTGGATACAAATAATTTTACTATTTTTGTCCATTTAACTTCCCTGGTAGCTTTGTGTGTGGATGATTTCCTACCTTTATTGTATGTTTGCCTTTACCAATGAGCTTTTCCATTTCATAATTTTCTTGTTATTGTGGCCTTTTCTTTCTGCCTATAGTAGTTCCTTTAGTGTTTGTTGTAGAGCTGGTTTGTTGGTGCTGAATTCTTCTAGCTTTTGCTTATCTGTAAAGTTTTGGATTTCTACACTGAATATGAACAGGAGCTTCGTTGGGTAGACTATTATTTGGTTGTAGGTTTTTCCTCTTTCCTCACTTTAAGTGTATTGTGCCACTCCCTTCTGGCCTATGGAGTTTCTGCTGAAAAATAATCTGGTAACCTTATGGGAGTTCCCTTGTATGTTATTTGTTGCTTTCCCCTTGTTTTTAATATTCTATCTTTAATTTTTGTCAGTTTGATTATAAAATGTCTTAGTGTGTGCCTCTGTGGGTTGGTCTTGTGTGGGACTCTGCTTCCTAGACTTGGGTGATTTTCCTTTCTCAGGTTAGGAAAGGTCTCAGCTATTATCTCTTCATATATTTCTTCAGGCTCTTTCTCTCTTCTCTTTCTGGGACCCTTATAATGCCAATAAGTGGGTATAATGTTGTCTCAGAGGTCTTTTAAACTGTCCTCATTTCATTTTCTTTTTTCTGTTTGGTGGTGGTGATTTCCACCACTCTGTATTCCAGCTCACTGATCCATTTATCTGTTTCATTTAGTCTATTATTGATTTCTTTTAGTGTGTTTTTCATTTTAGTTATTGTTTATTAATTTTGTTTGGTTTTTCATCTTTAAATTCTTTGTTAAAAACCTCTAATATCTCATTCTGTGCATCCGTTCTCCTCCCAAGTTCTTTGATCATCTTTAAGATCATTACTCTGAACTCTTTCTCAGGTAGATTGCTTATCTCAATTCTTCCTCTAGGGTTTTATCTTATTCCTTCATCCAAAAAATATTCCTATGTCTCCTCATTTTTCTACATTGCTATTTGTATTTTTAAGTACGTGGTAGGTTAGTTATGTTTCTCTACCTTGGG